ACTACTACTACTACCACTACTACTACTACTACTACTACTACTACTACTACTACTACTACTACTACTACTACTACTACTACTACTACTACTACTACTACTACTACTACGATTACTACTACTACTACTACTACTACTACTACTACTACTACTACTACTTACAACACTAACTACTACTACTACTACTACTACTACTACTACTACTACTACGACTACTACTACTACTTCTATTACTACTACTACTACTACTACTACTACTACTACTACTACTACTACGATTACTACTACTATTACTACTACTACTACTACTACTACTACTGCTACTATTACTACTACTACTACGACTACTACTACTACTACTACTACTACTACTACTCCTGCTGCTGGTGGGACGACTAGTACTACTACTACTACTACTACTACTACTACTACTACTACTACTACGACTACTACTACTACTACTACTACGACGACGACGATTACTACTACTACTACTACTACTATTACTACTACTACTCCTACTACTACTACTACTACTACTACTACTACTACTATTCTCACTCTTACTCCTACCCTTACTCCTACTACTGCTCAGATTTCGTGTTCTTCCGATCTCTGCTGGGAGGTCCCGCCTAAGCGAACATGATATCGCTATATAACATACTACATGATCGTCGTACATACGAGTTGCTGAGAGGAAAATGTTGTCCCCCCCAAGAACCCTGAACTTCATATCCCAACCCTGTGATTGTCAGCGGAAAGGCTCATGAGGCCGTCGGAAGACCTTGGGAAGGGCTGTGGTCAGGAGTGGGGTTGACGCGCAAGTCGTACATCATCGGGGGCTCTGGAAAGACCGGAACCGCGAGAGGCATAATATGGGTGCTTTCAACGGTGACACTCTTCAGCAGGGGTGCTGTGGAGACTCAAATGGTTGTAAAGGGCCTGTAGACGAGTCTCAAGGGTTCAAGGCTCTAGAGGGATTCTAGGGGCGCCTAGAGGGGTCTTTAGAGAGCGCCTCGATAGGGCGCCTCTAGAGGGCAGCGACAGCGGCTCTAGAGAGGGAGAGGGTGTGCTCCTACAGGGTGCTTCCAGAAGGTCCATTATCCCGATCTGAATCATCACTAGAAAATACACCTCGCCCCCTGGGGCTGAAGGACAACGGCTCCCCAGGCGATGGATATGAATGGTCCCTCGCTTCGCGTTGGCCGTTCAGGGATCTTCGGGAGGACAGCCTGCCATCTATCCGCCCCGGTTGCGCAGCCTGGAGGTTCCCGCGCCCCTCCGCCTCCTACCACTCGGCCGCGCGCAGAGGGGGGTATGGGGGAGGGGGGAGTGCTTCTTAGAAGCACCCCTTGCTTCTTAGAGGGTGCGGGCCTTGCCTGTAGACATGATGCAGGCGCCTTCTAAGAAGCAGCCTCCTTCTAAGAAGCCCTCCCCCCTCCCCCCTACCCCTCTCGGCGCGCCGCCAAGCCACGGCCTGGCCGTGGTTTGGCGCTCGCTCGTCCTGCCGCTCCACCGCCCTCCCTGCTGCTGCTCCGCCTGCTCTCCTCCTCCTCCTCCTCCTCCTCCTCTCCTCCTCCCTCCTCCTCCTCCTCCCTCCTCCTCCTCCTCCTCCTCCTCTCCTCCTCCTCCTCCTCCTCCTCCTCCTCCTCCTCCTCCTCCTCCTCCTCCTCCTCCTCCTCCTCCGCCCGTGGGACTCGGCCTGGAGAGCCCGGGGCTCTGCCCCGACGCCTGCTGAGGGCCGATGGGGCAGCGCCGTGGTGCCTCCGTGGGCGGTCGCCTTCGGATCCCCTGCCCTGGCGTCCGCAAGCGCGCTTCGGGAGTCCTGCACGGAGCGTAGGCCGCCCCGGACGGGCGCAGCGGCTGCCGCCGCTTCCGAGCGCAGACCTCTGGGCCGGACACTCCGCCTCTGGAGTGGAGGGGCACGGCGCACGACCCTGATGACGAAGGAGAGCGAAGAGGAGGAGGAGGAGGAGGAGGAGGAGGAGGAGGAGGAGGAGGAGGAGAAGGAAAAGGTGGGTGGAGGAGGAGGAGGAGGGGAAGCGAGGAGGAGGTGGAGGAGGAGGAGGAGGAGGTGGAGGAGGAGGAGGGGAGGAGGAGGAGGTGGAGGAGAGCGAGGAGGGGGAGGAAGAAGACGAGGAGGAGGAGGACGACGATGACGATGACGGCGCTCGCCCGATGGACAGGAAGGACGACGTCGAAGAGGAAGAGGGAGGAAGACCAAGAGAAGAACGAGGACGAGGAGGCGAAAAAGGACAACCCAGGAGTATTAGGAGGACGACGACGACGGCGTTGGCGAAGCCGACGACGACGACATTTAAACAACTAAGTGTCGACGACGACATTGAAACAGTAAGAGTCGACGACGACACGGAGACGGGGCGGCGCGAGGAGAACACCCCTGACGCCAAGATGGGCAGGCAGGGGGTCTGGGCCTGGCACGACCCACCGACGCCGCCAGCCCAGCGTCGGCGTCGTCGTCGTCGTCTTCCTCCACCTCCTCTTCCTCCTCCTCTTTCTCCCTTTCTTCTTTTTCTTGTTCTCCTCCTCATCCTCCTCATCCTCCTCCTCTTTCGGGGGGCCCGAATCGGAGTTGTGACCGCACCGTGTGGTAAGTCATTTGGGGATTTGTGGTCACAGCACGGTCTTGGGACTGAGGTCGTAGGCCGAGGACGTCTTGGGCGACCAGGGCCTTCAGGGTCTCGAAACCGTGTGGTTCACGGGCCCTGCGGTGAAGTAATCTGGGATGTCGAGGTCACCGCACGGTGTGTCACCACATCGTTTTGGGGCATCTTCCTCCTGCCTCCTCCTGCCTCCCTTGCGTCTTCCCTCTGTACTCGTGAAGTTCCCCATCAAGTGTTGGAAGTGTTGGAGCGGCTCTTCTGGTCTTGCAGCTTCTTGTGCCAAATCATCCTGTAGGGTTGGGTCCTCGTTTTGAAAAGACACGCCCCTCACACGTTCCGCCACCCCCCGGATGCAAAGTCGAGGAGACCGACGAGAGACGACGGCAACGGACCTCATCGGTGACGTCGTCGCGTCGCTTCGTTGCTCAGCTTTGCATCGCTTGGGGGGGGGGCGGGCTGCGCTTTCGCCCTGGTGCGGCGACAGATTCGGCAACCGCCGCATGGGCGCGCCATGGCATTTCCGCTTCGATCGCCTCCCGAACGGCGCAATTTGGGCAGCGCGGTCAGAAACTTGGGTGCCCGGCGAGTGCCGAGACTGCCCGCGGTGCCACCAAAACCTCGTGAGTGGGGAAAGTGGCATTGGCCAAGATCTGGCTCGGCGGCTCAATTCTGCGCGGTTGTTTTTATCGCGCCCCCCGGCTCACCAGTTACATTCTGCCCTCGTGTGTCACTGGTTGCTTGCGGCCTTGGACGTGTCACTAGTTGACTATTGCCTGAGAGGCGTCGCGTCTTGGGCTCGATGACTCAAAAAGAGGGGGTCCTAAATGTAGATCCCCACCCCTCGGTGGCTCAATGTTGGATCTTTTGTTGGCCCTATTTGGGTCTTTTGGGGGCCCACCTGGGGTCTTTATTGCGGCATTATTAGGGGCCCTTTAGGTTTCGCGGGGCCGTCTGGGCCCCCATGTCTCCAAAACAGTGGGGTCGTCAATGTATGTCCCTCCAGATCAAAAATGGCCCCTTGGGGCCCTCTTGGGGCGCTTTTGGGCGTCTTTCAGGCGCTCTTGGGGCGCCTTGGGCCCCTTTTGGAGCTCATTTGGGCCAACTTGAGGCCATCCTGAGGCCTCAGAGGCTTATCGGAAGCGAGACAGGAAGAAGGCGAAAAGGATGTGTTCCAAGTGTGTTCCAGGATTTGGGCCTTCTAGGGGGTGCCTGGGAAGGCTCCCGCGACACTTGGAACCGTCTCGAGGCTGTCTTGGGGCCTCCTGGAGGTATGTCGGCGGCTATATTGCGCCATCTTCGGCTGTCCTGGGCCATCTTGGAGGCCGTCTCGGGCTGCCGAGGGCCCTCTCGGAGCTATCTTCTGCCATATTGCACGTTCTAACCACCCGGCCACCCCCCGTCCCAGGCCCAGGGGGGGGGAGGGGGGGCGAAGGGTGAGCCCTTCCCCCGAGCAGGGGTGGGATGGGGAGAGAACGCAACATTCGCTGAACCAGCTACGCCCTGAGGGCTGGTTGGTCCTTGAGGTGGAGGAGGAGGAAGAAGAGGGGGGGGGAGGAGGAGCGGGGAGCGAGGAGCGAGGAGCGAGGAGGAACGAGAAAGGGGAGAAGGAGTGAGGAGGAGCGGGGAGGAGCGAGGAGGAGCGAGGAGAAGGGGCAGGAGTAGCGAGGAGGAGCGACGAGGGGGAGGAGGAGGACCAGGAAGAGGAGGAAGTGGAGGAGGAGGGGGAGGAGGAGGAGGAGGAGGAGGAGGAGGAGGAGGAGGAGGAGGAGGAGGAGGCCACGCCCCCTTCCTTCCTGCGTATCCTCTCTCTCGTCGGCCTTTTTTTCCCCGCGGGCGGCGCTTCTCGCGGTCGCGCCGCCCGTGCTCGGTCTCGCCGCCCGTCGCCACGGCGCGGCAGGAAGCGCGGGCAGGTACAGTAAAACAAAACCCAAATAAGGACGCGCGATTTTGCCCCGGGTGCCCTTGCGTCCTTGCTCTTCCTTGCTCTTGCGTCCTTGAGGCTTTCGTCGTCCGCCGCCCCAACAAAATCCCAACTTCGGCTCCCAAGGGTCTTGCGTCCTCACCGCGCGTCCTTATTAGGGTTTTGGACTGCATGATCAGTGGACGGGCGACTCACTTCATGGGCACTTCTCCCTGCTACAGTCAGCCTGCACAGTAAGGACGGGCGAGTTTCCACGGGTCCCCTTGCTTCCTCCCCCTTCGGCCCGCCGGCTTCGTTGGCCGCGCCCCGCTCGCAGAGTGCCGACTTGGACTTTCCAAAGCCCACGCATCTTCCTCGAGGTCGTCATCATGCCGGTTGACTGTGTGTGCTCCCGTCCTCCAAACGACTCCTTCAAGCACCTCCTCCGAGGAAGGAGGCGATGTCTGACAAAGTGAGGCTGTCCTCGCGCTCTCACCCCCTGGGCGCCGGCGGCACGCATCCTAGGATGGGCCCAGGGGGGGGGCCCAGTAGGTGTCATCCTTGGACTGAGTATTGTTTAAAAGAGTTCTTCGAAGTAATCGGCCCTTCCTCCCCATCGTCCGCATCTTTGTCGTGCGTCCCTCTTTCGCGGGTTGATTGTACTCTTCCATCGCCTACTTCCTCTCCCCGTAGGTCCGCCGTAGGTGCACGCACGGGCTCGGGAGATGGTGAGGCCTGCAGAAGCACAGGAGGAGGCAGGGGCGCTCTCCGGGAGGTGGTGGCCAAGCGTTCTGGCGGAGTCCCAGTTCGTGTCGGCCGGGCCTGAGGGGACGAGGAGCAGGAGAAGCGAGGAGCGATAGCAAGAATGTTCCTCGTCTTCGTCCTGTTTCCTCCTCCTCGTCCTCTTGATTCCTCCTCCTCCTCCTCCTCCTCCTCCTCCTCCTCCTCCTCCTCTTGAGTTCTCCTCCGTCTGAGAGGGACGACCTGTCTCCTGCTGCCCCTAGGCCACGTCCTCCTCATCGTCTTGGAGCTCATCATCACCATATGCCCCTCCTCTTCCCTCATCTCTCTTCATCGCCTTAACCTCTTCGTGTCAGTTGCTGCATCTTCTCCCCCTCCCCCCCACCTCTCTGCTTCCTCCTCCCTCCTCGCCCTTCTTTTCTCGCGTCCCTCCGTCCTCGCGTCCCTCCTCTGGCCTATTCCATCATCCCCCCCCTTTCCTCGCCAAGCTCGGCCTCCGTTGATCCCTCCCTTCCCCCCCCCCGCTCCTTCGCCACCTTCCCTCCTCGCCCCTTCCTGCGGGTGCCGCAGCACGAATCACAGGGCTCGGCATCCCTCGCGGGCCGACGGCCGTCGGACCTTCTCCGGCCCGCGTGCGCACGTCGCCGACGGCTCGCGCCCCGGATGGCCTCCTCGACTCCAGCGCCCGCGTTGTGGTCCTGTGCTGGGCGGTCGCAGGGTGTTCTTCAGGAGGGAAAAAAACACAGACACAATCAATCGTCGATCCCCCAGAAAATATGGGAAAGTATGGGAAGTGGGGGGAGAGACAGAAACCCAGACAATATGGGCCAATATGGGGAATAGCTTTATTTGTGTGCATTTATTTGTGTGTCCTGGGGGCCCTTCAGTTCTGGGCTCCGCGCGAAAACTTCCTCGCGGGCAGCAGCGAGCTGTGGCACCTCGGCAGCTGCCCGAGGTCCGGCCACGTGTCGATGCTGGACCGAGCCCCGCCCGTTCAAAAAGCTCGACGGCCCCTCGCGTGCCGCCGCTGCCGCGCGCGCCCTGGTCGTGCGCCGAGGGTCCTCGTCGAGCAAGAGGGGTTCCTCATCCTGAACAAGAGCGCGTTCTGGACGGGCGGAGCGGGCAGGGGGGCAACGTTGGCTCAGAGCCCTCGCGTTTTCCTCGCTGCCGCGTCTTTCGCCTGGGCTTCCTGTTTGTCCGCTTTCTCGTCCTCCTCCCCCAGTGCTGTTGCTGCTGCTACTTCTGCTCCTGCCTCTACTGCTCTCTTGCTAGCCCTGCTCCCGCTCATGCTTCTGAGCGTCTCCATGTTCATCCTTAGAGGGAGGGGGGTGGGGCGGGGGGCAAAGGTAAGACCATAATCCGTAAGGGCTTCGCCCCCTGCCGCCGGCCCCCTCTCTCGGAGAATGGGCCATGGAAGAGCTAAGTCATGAGGCCTTGGCGCTGTCGTGAAGCAGTATCGAAACTTCATGCGAAGCCGATTCGCAATCAGCAAAACCAACTGATCACAAGAGGGGTTACCACACCTGGCGATTGGTAAGACGTGTATGGTTTACGGGCTTGGTTACCACACCTTGCGATTAAAGGGCCGAGGGAGTTCTCGCAGTTTGGGTTACCACGCCTTGCGATGGATGTGCGTGAAGGGTGGCACCGAATTTCAGAAATGTGGCAAATCCCCTGTGTTTTTGGACCCTGACCCCGCGGATCTGCGTGAGGGGTGGCACCGAATTTCAGAAATGTGGCAAATCCCATGTGTTTTTGGACCCTGACCCCGCGGATCTGCGTGAGGGGTGGCACCGAATTTCAGAAATGTGGCAAATCCCCTATGTTTTTGGACCCTGACCCCGCGGATCTGCGTGAGGGGTGGCACCGAATTTCAGAAATGTGCAAATCCCTGTGTTTTTGGACCCTGACCCCGCGGATCTGCGTGAGGGGTGGCACCGAATTTCAGAAATGTGGCAAATCCCTGTGTTTTTGGACCCTGACCCCGCGGATCTGCGTGAGGGGTGGCACCGAATTTCAGAAATGTGGCAAATCCCTGTGTTTTTGGACCCTGACCCCGCGGATCTGCGTGAGGGGTGGCACCGAATTTCAGAAATGTGGCAAATCCAGTGTGTTTTTGGACCCTGACCCCGCGGATCTGCGTGAGGGGTGGTACCGAATTTCAGAAATGTGGCAAATCCCATGTGTTTTTGGACCCTGACCCCGCGGATCTGCGTGAGGGGTGGCACCGAATTTCAGAAATGTGGCAAATCCCATGTGTTTTTGGACCCTGACCCCGCGGATCTGCGTGAGGGGTGTCGATTTCGAGCCCCCCCAGCAATTCAGACAACGCGCCCAGGGGGTGCTAAAAATATGGTTTGGGCCTCCCCCCCTCTCGCGCGGTCAATCAACTAGTTACAGTAACCAGCAATAAGTCAACTAGTTACAGTAACCAGCAAGAAGCAGAACTGTAACACTAGAAACTACAAGCTACAACTGGCACAGGAAACTGCGAACCTCGCTCCTACAGCCTGGTGGCCCCACAAGGGGGCCAGCGGATATTTTAACGCTGGGTTCCCTCACGGTTCTCGCATTTCCAAGACAGTGCCTCTATGAAGCGCGCCTGTGGTAGTTCCCACGGTAGGTGCATGGCGGGGTGGCACCTGTTGAAGCAACGCGTGCGTGCCCTTGTTAAGGCGATCGCAAACATGGATCAAGGGGGCGTAGATTAGCGACGGGGCCCGTTTCCATGGGAAACCGCGGATCTCCGCCGCCGAGCGAGGCGGCACCGGCCGCGTTTTGGGGAGGGCACCTCCCCCGATCCATGGATTTGGCGACCGCATGGATCGCTAATCCATGTTTGCGCGCCCCCGACTTGTGTCCCCTGCCCGATGATGGTCGCTGCTCGCATCTCGTACGGCGCCATCAGTGCCCACGGCCTTGGCGCGTGGCGCAGGCCACTGCGCTCTTGCTGCCCGCCGTGCTGCTCGCCCCCTGAATGCTGGGGGCGCCGCTCTGGACACCAAGGACTCCGAAGTTCAGCTGGAACACCACACGTTCCTGTGGCGATCGGTGGCCACAAAACGAACGACACGTTCCTATGGCTGCAGGTGGCCATAGCACCGTGTGATGTTCCAGCTTCTGGCCACCGGTAGCCGTAAGAACGCGCGATGCTCCACACCCGCCAGCCTCACCAGCCCTGCACACCGTGGCCGCCAGGCTTCCGGAGATCTCCGTGTGGTCCCCGGGCGTCCCGCCCTGCCTACTGCGGCCGCCGGGCCCCAGAGGTCTCCGAGAGGTCGATGCACGACAGCGGACGAGCATCCGCACGGGAGGCGTCACGAGCAGACAGCTTCACCAGGGACGCGACAGGCCGTCCAGGCGTCACGGCGTCGCGGCGTCCGCAGACAGTTCTGACACGCACGTAGAGAGAGCAGGTTGCGACCATGCGCAGGCATCAATCTAATAGTTTACACCGGCCGCACTCCTTGAGAACATGCACCAACATTAGCTCAATCAGCAATCTCGATGATAGCTTATGTGCAGCCTATGTTAGGTTTCCATTGGCCTATGCACAGGCTATCCATAGGCCTACCATAGGCCTGCCACAGGCCTGTGGGCAGGCCATCCACAGGCCTATGGTAGGCCTACGCAAAGGTTGTGCAAAGGTTTACGCCGTAGGGCTTGCTACAGCCTTTGCACAGGGCTACTGTAGGCCTATGCGCAGCCTGTCGATAGGCTTATGACAGGCCTATGCATAGCCAACCGATCGGCCTACGATAGGCCTCTTGATAGACTGTTTCAGAGCCTGTGGGCTCCTGCGCCACAGGCCTTTGCACAGCTCATGCGTAGGCCTATGCGTGGTACTATGCGCAGGCTACGCGCAGGCCTACGATCGGCCTATCGCTAGGCTTTCTCATGGCCAATGGGCTCCTGCGCCATATAGGCCTTTGCATAGGCTGCGCACAGGCCTACCACAGACCTGTGCAGAGGCTGTGCTCAGATCTGTCGTGGGCCTCTGGGAGGGCGTCTCAGGGGGCCGGCGCCCCGCGACAGGCCTATGCACAGGTTGCGCACAGGCCTACCACCAGCCTGCGCACAGGCTGTGCACAGGCCTGTCGCGGGCTTCTCCCGGGCATGGCGCTCCGCGACAGGCTTAATGCGCAGGTTGCGCACAGGCCTACCACAGGCCTGTGCACAGGCTGCACGCAGGCCTGTGGCGGGCCTCTGAGGAGCCTCTCTGGTGGCTGGCGCCCCGCGACAGGCCTCTGCATAGGCCGTGCCCAGGTCTACCAAAGGCCTGTGCACAGGTTGTGCAGAGGCCTGTGGTGGGCCTCAGGGGAGCTTCTCTTGGGACTAGCGCTCCGCGACAGGCCTATGCATAGGCGGCTGCGCACAAACCTACCCCAGGCCCGTGCAGAGCTTGTTCACAGAGTGCACAGCAGTATCTTACACAGAGTCTTGACGCTTCGAATATCTCCACCTCTTGCCCGGCGTCCGACCCACTCTCCAATGGCGTACACCAATGGCAGACTTAACTCGCATACTGTAATCATTGCCATTGAGCGCATACGCGCAGGGCATACATCAAGCATTCACACCGACATCAGAAATCCGCATCAAACACCGAGAACATTGAGTAAGAGTAGCCGCTTCGAACTAACATCAAGACCAGGCTCTAGTAACCAACATCAATCACATGCACCAGTAATGTACACCAATGGGGCACACTAAATACGTACATTTTGATACTTTGGAACTTCGAGTTTGGGGTATTCGGAACCAGCATATCTTTTCCAATACGGAGTCCCCAGGAGTCCAGAGCAGCTCCTTGGGGCCGATTTGTTGTTGTATCCTGGGTAGCCTTCTGACTGCCCCAGGGGCCTGCGAGGCCCCCAGAGGCTGCAGATGTAGAACAGCCTGGGTGCTTCTCCCAGCACTCCTGTGTTGCTGTGTCCTCGCTTTGCCGCCGTAGCGCCGCGCTCCACATCTTCTCCCCTCCCACGCCTCCTCTCCTCCTCCTCCTCCTCCTCCTCCTCCTCCTCCTCCTCCTCCTCCTCCTCCTCCTCCTCCTCCTCCTCCTCCTCCTACAACGCTATACGCACTTCTTCCGATCGGTGAGCCGACCGGACGGCCCCGCCCCTCTGCCCCCGGAAGGCGAGCGGGCCCCCTCCCCGACCTCGACACCCGCGCCCTGCGGGCCCCAGCGGCCCAGCACTCCCTCGCGGCCCCGCGCGGCGCGCCGATGCTCTCGCCCCAGGCGTGCTCGGGGCCGTCTGAGCCCTCCAGGGGCCCTCGCCGGGCCCCAAGAGGGCGGCAACGACGACGACGACGACGACGACGACGACGACGACGACGACGCCGACGACGACGACCACCACCACCACAAGACGGCTCGGGATGAGAGTGCGGCTCCGGGGAAGGGGTCGGGCCTTCTGGAGGCCCCGCGTGGAGCAGCTCCAGACGTCGGAGGTCTGCGCGCAGAGCCGAGGCCCGGATTTGTGTCATACGGTGTCCCCGGAAGTCCTGACCTTTTGGCCAGGGCCGCTACTTCTTCCCGAGCCATTGTTGTTGACGGTCTCCAGGCCAGGCGAGGCAGACATCGGACGTCTGGGGTCCCGCCCCGCGGGCGGGGGCTGGGCCGGCCAGGATCTGCAACACGCCCTCAGACCCGGCGGAGTTCGACAAGTTCGTGCCGCGCAACGAGGGCGAGCAGCGCTGCAAAGGGCGGGGGCGGGTGGGGGATGCCACCACCCACCAAAGTCAGCCCAACCCAACCCGAAGGCCCAGATTTACCCTCGAGTTCTAGTGTGGGGAGGGGGATCGGGGAACATCGAAAAAGCACGTGTGGAACCCGTGCCCCCTCCCACCCCGACACTTGGGTCTTCGGGTTAGGTTGGGATGGTCTGGTAGGTAGTCAGGATGGCGCTCTTTGCCGGGCCGCGCGGGCCGGCAGGGTCCGCGCCAGAGCAGGTGGTGCGCTCCAGCGCAGCTTCGGGGAGAACAGCTGCAGTGGGGAGAGCTGGGGTCCTCATGTGCGCTCATGGCGGCGAGCAAACATGACACACCCACACCCACTAGGGGGTCGGAGGGAGGAGGACTGGCTGCGGGTATGGTTGTGGGTTGTCGGACCCCAGGGGCGACTCCCGTTCGAGCGGGGACCCCCATCAGACAACACGCACCCCTAGCCCCCTCCGTCCCCCCTGTGTGTATGGGTGTGCGCTGCTCGCTCGTCACATGGAGGACGTATCCCCCTGAGGGCGGGGCCATCGGCTTGGTTCCCACCGTGAGCAGAAGGAGCACAGCTCCCCCGGTGCTGGCTGCTCGGGGGAGGGCGAGGCGGTTTGGGTATGATGAGCGAGAGCGAGCAGGGATTTGTTTTGTGGGTCGCGCAATCGAACCGCGTCGACGGGGAGAAAGTTTTCGAAGTCTGCTGCTTCGAGGCAGGAGGCGGATGGAAAGGAACAGCCGTATGAGGCGGCGGAGGGACAGGATGAGGTCGATCAGCAGGAGGAGGCGGAGGAGAGGCCTGATGTGGCGGGAGCGGCGGAGGGAGAGGAGGAGGAGGAGGAGGAAGAGGAGGAGGAGGAGGAGGAGGAGGAGGAGGAGGAGGAAGAGGAGGAGGAGGAGGAGAGGGAGGAGGAGAGGGAAGGAGGAGAGGGAGGACGTTCAGGAGGAGTAAGAGGAGGTGGAGGCGAAGGATCAGTAAGGGATGGTTGAGGGAGAAGTGGAAGAAGAGAGGAGGAGGAGGAGGAGGAGGAGGATCAGGAGGAGGAGGAGGAGAAGGAGGCGTGGAGAGGGGAGGCCTGAAGAAGAGGCGAAGAGGGAGGCGTGGAGAGTGCGCGAGGATGAGATGGAGAAGGGGGGAGCTTCATGTGCAGAAGGAGGATGAAGAGGATGTCCAGAGGATGAGTGGCAGGTCGCGAGGAACATGAGGAGAAGGAGGGCGCGTGAGGACAAGCAGCGGCAGGAGGGTGAGGAGGGGGGAGTTGGGGGCGAGGATCCCGCGACCAGGAAGGAAAGGGGGACGCAGGAGAGGAGGAGGATGACAGGCAGGAGGAGAAGCGGTAGGATGATGCATAGCATAACGAGAGTTGTTGGACCAGGGGTAGAACCTTGGTGGCAATATCGTGAGGGCGGATATACATACGAATCTCAGCATGAGTAGAAAGACGGGAAACAGAAAGTTCCAATCGTTTTATTCGTTGAGTTTCCATAGTGAGCAGTAAGCAGTGAGCAATCCGTCAATTTATTGAGTA